TTTGTCTGAAAGCAAAAAGGATAATCACAATTCTTAGGAGAGTTATCATTTAAAATGGACTTTACAAGTTTTTTTCCACTGTCCATCCTTCACAGCAGCGTAATTCAAGTGTACTCAAGTTCTCACTACTACAAGTGACATAAAGGGTAAGGTTTATTAAACAGTTGGTGGCAATCACCTATGAAAAGAACTGCTCATATAAACATAAAAAATTACTCCCAGATCCCTTTGTTCTGACCTGTCCTTTTCAGCACCCAGATGCGTGCTCTTTCCAGTAACAGATTGGTCCCAAGCCTAGCATCCACTTTACTACAACTTCTGATTCCACAGACCAGGACAGAAAGTGGTAACGAAGCACAAAAAGGGATTTCTAGTGTAGAGGGAACAGCAAGTCCTCAGATGGAGTAGACAGCTTTCAAGTACAAGCTCATAGACTAGAACATACAGGAGCTTGATAGGCAAAAAGTATATTACCTAAATCAGAGAATACTATTATTTACCATTTCATTCCTTCGGACAGAGGGTACCAGTTACGAAGTCTGATGCACAAAAAATCAGCTGTCTGCAAAGTAAATGTTTGTTCAGAATTTTCCTTACCACCCATTTACCTGAAAATGGGAAATACACTGAATGAGAAAATAATCCACTTGTTTAAGGTCAAGACACTGACTTAAACAACCTTAAAAAAACCCAAATAAAACTGGGTGTTTCATGCGACATCTGTCCTCACCCAATGACCTGCATTTTAATTTATAGCCATTTAAATTTGTTTCCTCAAAATGAATATAAGTATGTGGAGACACAACCTATGCTAAGCTTGTTTCTGTCACTCATTTTCTGTGTGGCATGGGGCATGGTATTTTCATTCTCTACTTAGTTTCCCTCATAATGAACTAGCCCATGGAACTCCCTTAAAGCAATATTGTATTAGCAAAGTTAGACAGTCAAACACAAGGCAGGAATATACAGAGCTTCCTGAATGAATGCAAACGTTTTTGGAAGCACTAACAAACTTGTAATTTAGCACTCAACATCAATCTCTGCTCACAGCCGGAGTAAAATCTTGGTGGCAGGAAAAGGGACTGCCGGAGCACTGCGGTACTCCTCACACCTTCCGTTCAAGTATTGATTTTTACCAGAGACAGAACTGCAAGACTAAGCGAGCCACGGGCCCGAGCTAATGCGGCAGTTCCCGTCTTGCCTGTGGTCTGAGTGGAGACACCATCACGTGAAGTATCAGGGGAAGAATGCTTTGGCCACCAGTGCAGGCATTTGACCTGCAGTCATCTCAGGCAACAGGTTGCCAAATTTTCTGAAGAGTAAGAAAATACATGTTCCGTTTTGCAGACAAATCCATTGTAACGCTGTAACCTTGTATCAGCTTTTCAGAGATAAAACTGGATTCCCAGAGAGCTTAAGACCGTGATGAGCTTCAGTTTCTTGCTACGTAACATTATGGAAAGCAAAATCGACCGGATCACACGCCACTCAAAGTGCTGATCTTAGTGACGCTCTCTTTTTCCAAGTACAGGCTATAGCTTCTTATGACTTTTTTTCACGGAATGTCAAACTATACACTTACTCACTGGTGTAAATAACACACACTGGAAAGAAAAACAAGAGAGAGGAAGAGACCCAGCTTGGAAAAAGAACCATCAGTTTTCTTTTCAAATGCAGCTGAACAGGAGAGTTGAGAGGGAACAGATTAATGATTAAGAGTGCTAAACAAGGACTTCAGTATAAGGTTATTATCATGTCCAGATGTTGTTTTTGCCTTTGACAGTTGTTTGAGGTTTCACTCATACAAATACAGATATGCATCTAGTCTTAAGTAACCTACATGCATTTAAAATGCCTGTAATAACTTTAAGAAACAGACCTTTATAAATTCTGCACCCCACCTGCAAAATGAGGAAGATGGTGATGGGGTAAAAAAAAAAAAGTTTGTTTAAACATTGAGTACATCATTTACTAACAGTACATAATTAGTATTAACAGATGCATTCAACAGTTATTCCAGCAACAAGCTGAAGTAGATCTCATGCCTACAAATTGTAATATTGCCCCGGATTATGATTTTAAATCCATGTAAAATTTGGGTATATTAGATGTGTATGACTGACACCTCTTAATGTATACTGCATCTTTTACAAGTTCATTGCTGTTGGAAGCTTTTTAAAAATAATAGTCACTTAAAAATGGACTTCTTCCCTTGAAAGTACTACGTATATCTGATTACTGTGCAGCCAAGTTGAAATACTCCCTCCACCTTCTTTGCCAAAACAGATGGCAAATAATGAGCAAGTTGGAATATTCTCTGCTTATAGTATTTAGCTTGCGGTTAAGGACTTTCCAACTTTCTGGTTTAGCACCATCTCACTAGAAAACTGCTGTAGATCAAGGAGGACTAGCACAGCTGACATAATTCAGTCTCAAACCAGCCTTCCCATGCTTAATAGCTTCTTGTGTCAGCATGTGTCCTAAGCTGAAACATCTCAGATGATTGAACTTGGCTACAACCTAAGAGTACAGGGATGTGTTTAGCAGATGAGACTGGCAGAAATAGAGGAGCTCAATGCGGTCAGAGGTTCCGAAGGCAGTGGAAGGATTATGGCTGCTGATGCCCCGAAGGTAAAAAGGGAAGGTTTTATCTTTTCCTCCCTGGTTCCTCACAGTTCAAACACTTGGATTTTTACTGTGCAGTGTGCCACCACTCAACCGGGAGAGGAGACAAAGTGGTAAGATTTTTCTTAGCGTTTGTGCAAGCCTACCAAGATTGCACTACTCCAAAGTAAACAGCTACCCTGACAAAAAGCCCAAGTCTTAAGCAATTAAATTCAGCGTGCCTGCTAATGAAATTGTTATTCTGTGACATATGTAATTACCAATTAATTATCCCTCATTTTAACAAGTGACAGTCGGCTAGAGGCTTTCTTTTTCAGTCCACATAAAAATACATCTGTAGTGGTGTAAAAGACAATTGATTTTAGGTTTTTCAGACTGAAATTACACAAAAATCTTCTTCAAAATGATAAACAACGGAAGTCATACCTCCTTAAATGTGTTTTGGTAACCTTGTTTATTTCTTTAAAAAAATAATGAACCACTATGTCTCAAGTCAACTCTTTAAATCATGCTACTTCCTTACATAGGTTAATACCAGTTCAAGAGTATCGAACACACAGTCCTCATTAATTTCAGTCTTCCTTAAATTTTCTTGTTAGAATAGCAACTATGGGATGTTCAGTTCTCCTCTAGTCAGATTGCTAACATGGCTTAGGTTAAACTCCAATCCCCTATTTTCAAAACTCTCCCCTTCAGCTAGCAGGTTGATGCAACTTCAGCATAACTGGTTTTTGAGAAACACGAATTGCAGAGACTTCAGAAGAATTTTCACTATCTTGTTGAAAACAACATATGGGAATAAAATAGAACCATAACTTTGGTTTACAAAACATAGCCTTAATTATACAGATTGCTTCAATGAGTCTTCAAATACAGATTTCAAAGAGTCACCAGTGTTTTAATATATGCTTTCTGAAACAACATTGTAACATTTACTTTTGAAATACTTATTGCTAATACGTTAGTCACCAGTGTTAATATATGCTTTCTGAAACAACATTGTAACATTTACTTTTGAAATACTTATTGCTAATATTAGTATTTGCCAAGTTTTACCAAGTGTTAGCTATTGAAAATCTAATACATTAGTATTTGCCAAGTTTTACCAAGTGTTAGCTATTGAATATTTTTGTTTAAGTGTTCACTAATAATTAACTCATCATCGAAATGCCATCTCTAGACATTCTCTAGTGCATATATGCTTTTGTAGGGATTCAGGCATTACTCTGACTTACAGATTATGAAGAGCTTAAATATGTCTGCTAGGCTCAAGTGGGAGCCATGCTTAAGCTACAGAAAAAAAAGCAGCTAACCTACTGAAGTGGCATAAATAACTAAGCGAGAAGATAATGACTCAGTCATAAAAGCTAACAAATTTATATACTTAGAGCTTCAGTTTTAGTCTTCTCTGGGTCTCAGGAAGAATGTGAAATACCAGAAAGTGAATGACTGCCTGGCCCACAGCATTCTGGTATAATCACAATAATCTGGGGAATTCAAATAGATTGTGAAGAATTTCATGTGGAACAAATTATATTAAGGAAGATTCTTTAATGAAATGTCATTTTTGACTCATGGAGTAGATTAAGTACTTTGGAGGGAAGTCTTCAGGGCCAGTCAGGGTCCAAGTGGATTTCTTTACATTGTTCCCCAATGCATACCTCAAGAGGTAGCATACAAACTGAATTTTGGCTTCTTTGCCGAAATTATCAGCAAAGGCACCAACTTGGAGGTGATTTCTTATCCTATGCAAACTACTCAGCCACAGCTCCTTTCGAATAAGCCCAACAGCAGTCAGAAAGTGGTTTCTACTGACCCACGTGACAGTGATCGAGAAGTGAGAACCTGGTATTCCATTAATAATCTCCTAGTCACTTGCTTCTTTCACAGTGTCATTTTCAAACCAATCTTGCAATATTTGTAGCTTTCTACACCACTGTAACCTGAATTTGATAAATCAACTCTTCTACAGAGCAGGAATTTCTTTAACAACTTTGTACAGACTCTAACATGAAATTGAATAGAAGTATATACTTTGAAAACAGATTCAGATTGGTTTTTAATATATTTTTCACTTGTACTTTAGTTTCTTTCAAAACAGAGTGTCACTAATTTGCAACCACCATAAGATAGCTGACTTCTGTGTAATTCTTGTTGCATCACTTCAGACTATAGTATATTACAAAAAATACAGTTCATCAGATTACAATTAAACAATTTCATTTTGAAAAGTTACTTTACCTGTATGTTATGGACAGAAAGAAGGCAACTTAGGTTAAAAGCATTACACAGAAAATCCAATAATGACTAGAATGCATTCTTAGAGACCTGGAGGTTTAGAGGCGTGGAATTTTTAGAGTTTTACAAAGTAATTTCAGAAGAATCAGAAAGGAATCTGAAATGATGCAGCATAAAAATTGCAAGGATCTCACGACTGATTTTCACGGTGGAAAGGTTCAGGTTGAAATACGCTGCCTGTTCAAACTTTCTGGGAGAGAACATGGAGGATCTTAGCTCTTAAAAATGCTGTCAGATAAATCACGTCACCCATGTGACCCACACAAAACCACTGTCTGCTAAAGCTCCAAACACATTAGCACTTAACAGAGGTTTCCAAAGGCCGAAATCAGTCTCTTAGTCACTAAATGAAGATTCACTATCAGAACTGTCTTCTGCATTCCCATCATCTCCCCAGGCAGGCACAGGGGCATCTGGGGTCCTGCAGGCAACAAAAATGTATGTTGTAAATCCTAGAAGGCAGCTGAGAACACAAGCAACTTAGCATGTAATGCTACTGTCCTTTCATTACAATTGCATGCACTTTATATCCACAACATTTAACACATTAACTGTTAACAGTTTACAAACTCACACCTTACTGGTATTCACTTACAACTGAAAGACAAACACTAGAAACTGTAACTCACTGGACATCAAAACTCTGTAGACATCAGTTTGAATGCACACCTTTGAGGTTCTCGGAAATAATGACAGATCACTAAGAAGTAGCAAACACTTGTAGAAAGAGTTGAAAGCAGGCAATACTGATTAATTCAATTTTTTTCAATCTTCAGAGGTTCTAGGGCTGAAAGGAACAGGCTGTACACCATTAAGCAGTGTAAATAGTACATGAAAAAAAATAAGACAGGAAATGAACAATATTGTATCCAACTAAAACTGCAGGGATAATTTAGAGAAGCAAAAAAGAATTACTCAGAGTGGAATTTGGCTGGAACACTGGGTTAAATTTGACATGCAAGAGCAGCCATGGGATTTTTATTGACTATAAATGATCAGATCTCTTGTATTTAGTTTTGAAGAGAATATTTAAAATGGATCTTAACATCATGTCAAAACATTTACTCAGGGAATCTACTGAGCATGAGGGGGAGAGAAGCAAGCCATCTAAAGACTAACTAACACTACCGACTGAAGATGCTGGCTCTCCCTGGAGTCTCCCTCCTAAGTATGTAATGAGTTTGACAATACAAGCAAGACTGAGCCTGGTAAATTCTGAAACCAAGGTAGAAAATATACACGCAATTATACTTGGGGAAGGGGAAGAATGTCTTCACAGAAACTAGCTTCCTGTATGATAGTTAACTGCTCTCTTTGATAAAATATTACATTTTAAACTAAGCTGACAATTGTATTATTCATCCCATTGTTATTTATCTTGGGGCTACCCCTGTGTGTCACGCCACAGAATTTCTTTTCCAACTTTAGTTCTGTTCATTATAATTTCTCTGTTGGAAATCCATAAGGTATCTTTAAAGTGCTTATAAACATCTTGGGTGCAAAAATGAGAAGTGCGTTAAAGAACTGTAAAAGAGCCTTCTCCCTCCCCCCCGCACACCTCCAAAATAAATTGAGAGCGTTTGCTTTCTCATGCAAATACCACTTCACAATATTATTCCTTGTTGCTGTGGTAATGACAAAACAGAAGAGCTGTGCAAAGACATGTGATCTGGAGAGACCAGTGCAAAAACTCTCCTCTAGTAAGGAGAGGAAGATGGCAATGAATTCCTTTAGTTTGTGAGGGCAGGACAAACTCTCCTGGAATTGTAGACAGGCAAGAGAGGAAGGATAAGAAACAAAAGTTAAAAATAGATACGTTGGGAGCTTGATAGAATAGGCAGTTTTCAAACTCTGTAAAAAGTTGAGAAAGGAGCGATAACAGAAGTAGAAGTGAAGCAGCCGAAGGAAGAGAGTATGAACAACTCCGTATTATTAGAATTAGCATCTCTGCAGCCACAGAAAAACCACGCTCAGTCACCGGCAGGTAGCTGGGAGAGTCTGCAGTAAGCGGCTGAGCATACAGCAATATGTACATTTTCCTAATTTTCACTGGGACTGAGCGAGCAGGCCTAAGGAAACTGAAGATACAAGAAATGTGGTGTGAATGGCAAGATACATATGAAAAAAAAAAGTCTATGACATTGAGACAAGAAAGCAAGAAGATTAAAAGAAAGGTCACCCCTGACTCCTTAAAATATTAAAAAAGTATTTCAAATAATACCAATTCTTCAAAGAGGCATTATGCACCATGCCAAATAATTAGCTTGCTTTAACGAAGTAGGTTTGCTATACAGTTTTCAAACCAGTAGCATTTTAAAGAAAATCTGCCTAAGCATTAGTGTTGCACAGAATCTTTGAAGATGGACTTTGAGACCAAACCCCAAACATGTTCCATGAGCCCTAATCCACAGTAATAACGTTTCTGTCTTAACCCAAAACAGACAATCCAGAAGCAGGTACTTTTTTTAAAAAGCTTTTGAAATTTTAACCTATTACCTTATTTTTATCTACTATAAAAATCCATCCAAACATGAAAAAATAGCAGCATTTACAGAAAGGTATGGACCAGAAGCGCAGATTAAGAAATACAACACATATAAGAGACATATAGTAAACCCATGTTTGATAACCCTGTCTCAGACTTGCACAGGTTCTTACTTGTGTTCTTTTTCTTATTTCTCATTCGATCAGTAAAAATATCAAATGAGGAGTACCTAATTTAGGCTTAAGACTCCAGGAGGTGACTTAACATATGACGACAGTTCAGTTTTCCTGTATTTTTATTTATTTTATTAAACAAGTTGCTAGTTTCAGAATAAGCCTTTCCAAAATGTAGAAAGACTTCACTGGAAAGGAGAAGCAGGCTTTCTAAGACATTGGCAGTTTCTGAAGAGGATGCAAAAGTATTTCAAACAGTTTAGTGGCTATAATATAAGAATGAAAGTTAATATTTTCATCACTTTAACAAATTCTGTGAAACAGTACAGTAAAACTAAATTACGTGTCAAATGTAAAATAAGCTTAAAATTCATGCTTAAGGCCAGACAAGTAGCTTTGAAAATGAGTATCTACTCTTAGTAGGCTTCACATCAGGTCAGCTCAATCAACAGTCACAATTTCAAACTGCTGACTTCAATTTACACTGTCAATGTTGAAGTCAAGTTGTACACTCCATCTACTGAGGGAATCTGGAAACAACTGTGCTGTCCCTCATGCACCCGGCAAAATAAAATAGTTTGTTCTTATTACCCTACAATGATGACATTTTGTTATTGAAGTGTTGGAAGAAAATACCAGGGAAAAACCTCATACTCTAAACAGTACAGTGAAAATGGCTACTGACGCATTATTTGATTCCCCATCGCTACATGCACGTTGTCAAATATTACCTTGTCATTGCTATATCCTTTTCCTTGAACTGCACCACCTCTGCTTGGCTTGGAAGAACCGCTTCCATCTCCTCTCAAGTCTGAACGGTAAAGTCCTGCAACTTTCTGTTGGGGAGGGTGCAGTACCTCCCCATTTATTATTCCAGACTCTGTATTTCCTGGGCCTGGCCTTGGACTAGACAATACTGAAAAGACAGCTCATAATTGAGATTGCATCCCTCCTCCTTTGGTACTGATGGCCCTCTTCAGACCTATAAAATGCTAAAAACGCCTCTCACGGAAGACTTCAAAACCTGCTTTAATGCTGATAATTTAGATTCACAATACCATAAAAAAGCTTTTCTAAGCACACTTTTTTTCCCAAGTTTTTTAAACACGTGGTTGCATTCCAGCCCTACTGAAAGTTACAGATTACTTACTGAAGAAGGTCTGGATTTAGCCCTTCAGAAATCATTTTGTTTCGTATTGCCATTACAGGAACACCCTGTGTGGGAGGAAGAATAATATGAAATTACTGGACACAAACAGGTGAACTAAATGCCACAGGTTCTTTTAGGCTACACTTTCTTACAAATCTATGCATGTCACTTGTTGAACAAGAGCATGGAATGATAATCTCAGTTGCCATCAGTATGAACCTAGAAGCGAGAAACGACTGAGACCAAAGGCCCTTTTAATCCTTCTTGTATTTACGGCAAAACATCTAGAGAAAGTTGCAGGGAGACAATCGGGAACGGGCAGATATTCATGCAGACAAAACCAGGAAGCTGAAGTTATGTGTATGGATGAGAATGTGAAGAAAGCACAAAGCAGCACAAAGACAGCAGAGAACAGTTGTGCTAGAAAGATGAAGAAGACTCGGACATGCTGAGGGTATAGCCAAAGAGGGAGGAAAACCAGGAAAGTGCATCTGCCACAGCTCTGGAAGGATACCTTAAGGCAGTGCTAAAAATTGGAAAAGTCTTGCAAAAGCATGCAGAAAAATGCAAACAGGACATGAGAACAGAAGCACAATTTAAAAGTGATTCCTCTGAATACAAGTGCTTGTACAGTCAGGCTTGAATCTTCTATGACTTGTGGACAGATTTTAGCCAACTGCGTACGTGTTAAAAAAAATTCCTTCCTTTCACTGCAAGTCCTTCCACAGCTTCTGCACTTTATTTTATTCAGCAACACCTAAACATCCCCTCATCTTGGATCACATACCCAAGAACACTTTGACCCACGTCCTCTTACGAGACACATTCCAACAAACTGCTTCTATGTTTCCACTAGAGTTGCTCAAAGACAACTTGTTGCTTTGCCATCCCCTGTTGCAAACCATCAGAAACACCACCTGGACCACTGCATGCCAAGATAGGAGGGGGAAAAAAAAAATTAAAAAAAAAAATATATACAATTTCTGCTTTCCAAGGGACAAAGCTACTAGTGGTCTAGGAAAGTCAGGAGAGGCCTCGCAACCTAAATGAAAAGTAGTGTAGGATTCTTTTGGCACAGGACAAATATCTGTTTTCCAAAGTAAGTAACACAGTGATAAAATAAAGAGTAGCCATGACTAATGTTCCAGAGAAGCATGTGGTACTAGTGACAGTTGCAGTAGCTAACCTGGCAAAGAGAGAGCTAAGCTAGCTGTCTTACTGTGTTTTCCTTGTGCAGTTTCACAGTGAGAATCACAATCAAGACTTTTGTTTGAAGATTCCAGAATAGCACACAGACAGGTACATAGTTTTAGCAATCTGTTAGGCATACTGGCAAAAATGTGACTCAAATAGCTGCGAGGTATTAGCGTGTAATAAAGAATTTCTCAGTAATTCACAACCAATGTACGTTACAAAAGGGAAAACATTTGAGTATTTCATGACAGTTTAAAATATTCACTTATTCTAGTATAGATTTGGACACCAGGATTGTGTGTCTATACACCGTCTCGTACTAGCTAATGTTTTTTCCCTCGCTTGATTGCTCTTAGGGTTCCTTTCCCCAGCTCAGAAGTCACTGATGGAGTGTTTATGCATCAATTCAAACCATGTGAAAACCGGACTGAGTCAGATCAGGCAAAGCGGAATTCGTATTTGCTCTCAATGAAAGGGAGCTTGGTATATGAACTTCTGAGAATGGATTGGAAACTATTATGTTTTTATGTTCACGCTTGGAGAAGCGTTTATTCCAAAATTGTATGCATCAAAATCTGTAAGAAAAAAACCTCTCAGTACCCTCATATATTATAGATTTACAAAACTAATCTTAAGTTTAATCAAAATACCCTTTAACAGTACACTTTTTTCCTGAAGGAAAACAAGTAAGGTTGTACCTATATCTGTTTATAATACAATTAGGTCATTACAATTACTTTATCTTTCATACTTCCGTAAGTTTTAATCTGGAAAATCAGAGCGTAATACTGCTGTTACCCTAAATCTTACTAAAATAAAACAGACGACTCTTTTAAATCTAAATAGTAACTACATTGAGCATACAGGTCCACTGAAATGGGACAGGTGTACTTTTCTAACATAGGAGCCAACACTAAATTTCCATCGCCTTTGCCTCTGCTCAGTTAAGATTTGAAATAATCCAAATCACTACACATTCACCACGGTGTACCCCAGCCCTACTCCCAGCCTGGTCCTGCAGCTCAGGAAGTGTGCAGGTCCCAGAGAAGCCACAGTGCAAGTAGCAATCTTGTTGCAAAATAGGTTTTGGTTCTCCACAGTGCAGAAGGAGGTCACATACCATCAGTGCTGGCAATTCCTGAAGATCAGTGCACTCTCCGTGTTTGGTTTTGATTTCAGTCCTTTAAAGCAAGGATCAATCTACATCAGGCCAGTCAGTATCTTGGCATCTATGCAGTCACGTGTGGTGTTTAGAATCAAGTAAGCGTATATGTACTTTAAACATGAAGTTTATCTGAAATCGTAGACTGCTCCTCTCACACTGTCAATAGAAGTGTTCTGAACATTTATTGTAGCAAATATGATATTGCTTTTGTAAGGTTTGCTTGAATATTATTGTTGTACATTTTGAAAAATATGAATGTAGTATGCTCAAATGCACTCGATCCAAATGAGTTTGTTACTATTTCACAGAACAGCTATCTTTACTGTAAAAGAAATATCTCTTCACGGTGCTAATTCTTAAATACTACAAATATTGTGAGCAATAAATACATGATCAGTTCAAACAAATCTTCAGCTAGAAACTTAATTTGGGCAAATAAATGACACTAACTGAAATACTTGACTGGACGAGAAGACAAGTTTGGCAAATAAAAAACACACATTAATTTGTAGTATGTTAGTTTGACTTTCCTACCACACTGTTTACAACTGGCAGAGGAGTCACCAGGAACTGCCAGTACAAAGGATGAATGTGGAAAGTGAGATCTCACTCCTCTAGCAGTCACCAAAAAAAACCAGTCAAAAGTAATTAGACCATCCAGCACTTTCACATCCACTTTGAAGTCTGGCATTAAATCAATACACTAACATAGCGTTCTACTCTCTGCTACTACCCCACTGCTACGTTTTCCAAATGGTTTGTAATAAGCTACCCATAAAGTGCCAATTTGTGATTCAAATGAAAAATAAGGTCTGGAACATCATCCAAAGTACCAAGCACACCAATTTTAATAATTGCTCTGAAGAGGGAGTGAAACCATGAAGTTAGTTTTAACATAAGCAACATTTTACTAATACTATGACACAGTCGTATTTTCCAGAATTATTATATGTATTTTAGAGGAAAATTTCCACTGACAACTTGAAAATAAAGACAGATTTTTTTCCTTGTTTCCAATCTCATTTTTAATTTTGTGGACATGAAAAAAGAGCTCTTAAAAAATGTCACCAAGAATGTCCCATTCACCTTTTCACTCCTTCATTAGTTTTCACACATGTAAATATTGAGATTACATTCATTTATTTTCTACTTATCTGTAGAACAGCCCACAGATAAAGAGGTAAACAAAACCTGCATCATGAATAACAGGAAACTGAAGCGGAACCAAGTAGCGAAGCAATTCTTCTATCTCCGTTTTGAACCCTACAGAAATATCAAATACTCCTGCTCTGGTCTATACTAGCAAAGCTGCATTTTGTACCCTACAGCAAAACCTGTAATCATGTCTGTGTGCAGGGAACGACACGAATTCTACCAGAATAACTACACTGTCAGGGGCATCTTCTGTGGCTCCAGCTAATACCGCTCTGCATTTACACATCTTCACACCTTCAGTTCACAAGTATATTGGCAGAATTTTGTAGAAAGATCCTGCCTGAAGCTGTCTGAGGGAATGTATTTTATCAACTCATTTATTAGAGAAGATGTGCTAGAAATACTGGGATGTTATCCTAGCTTAAGGATAACTGATGCAATATATGTCTTCAGTCATTTAATGTTCACTTACAGCTATGCGTTGACGTTCCACCTAAAAATAATGGAGTACCCAAAGAATGATGAGAGAACTGACTTACCACTTGTACCATTTTGAGATATCTGGCATATCTTGGATCCTTGGCCACAGTTCTGACATTTTCTGTTACTACCTCCGTTTTCTGTAACCCTTCTTCATGTATATTGTTCTGCTGTATACACAGAAGGTAACACTTTAATGGTTAGGTATGCAGACCAGAAGCATGGACAGATTTCAATCCATAAAATTTGTAATTTAAGCATAAAGTACAACTCTTCTTACATCAAGATGATTCTGATCTACACTCATAGTATTAGAGATTTCCAAGATGTACGAATACACAAAAACCAGCTCTTTGATTACTGACTGTTACAAGTGTGACTTCCTACTTTTAGTCACAATTTTAAGTTATTGCACAATACGTGACAAAAAAATAGCCTATAATAGCCCTGTTAAGTTTGTTGTATTTAATGAACAAAACAGAACTAAATTTAAATGCTCACTTTATAAAAAATAATTTTTTAAGGTTATATCTTCACATCTCCCCTAGTGGTCCAATGTATTTTTTCCTCAAAATATTTATTTGATTCCCTGACAAATGTTTCATACAGATCATATAACTTTTAAACTATACTTTTTAGTATAAACCATTAACCTAAAGGATAACATAATGAAAGCAAAGAATCCTTGAGAGTAATTAATTAAAAAAATGAAAAATGACAAGAAGCTATAGTACTATTTAAAGGACAACAGAAAACTGCATATTTGCTATTAAACTAACCATTTGAAAGTAGCATTGGAAACCTCCTTTCAGGAATATCTGTCCCTACTGTAATATCTGAGAGGAGGAACATTTTAAAGAAAACGAATAACTGGGAGTCATTCTCTAACATGAGTGAAACATGCAATGCTAACTGTCCATTCTGTCTCCCACGTTGCTGGCTGCAAATTAGAGTTACAATCTTTAACAGGCAGGGAAAGGCAGCAGAGTACTCCAGCTATTGCTGCTCCACAGCAACGCCCACCAAATAAGAGAACGAGCAGAGACTGGAATTGGACATTCCAAGAAAAGAAACTATAATAGGAGGAAAGAACTCCATCTACAAATGAGCCAGAAAGCCTCACTTGGTGAAGTGGTGATCACAGGATTTAAGTCTGGGTTAAAAAACCAACCAACCAACCAACCACATACACACACAAAACCAACAAAAAATTAATTGCAGGGATAGGATCTTAATGTTGATCACTTACAATAAGCTGGCATTTTCTGTACATAGATGATAATATGTAGAAAACATTCACTGTAATAACCTCTTTAAAATAAAGCATGCTAGAAAGTCCAATTTGAGCTGAAAGCTCACATTCTAAAGGAAGGAGAAAAGAGTTGGAATTACGTGATTCGAACTGTTATTTTCATTCATGACCTTCCCAGTCCCCTGATGTAATTCACGTTCATATTTTAGTGTGATTGAAGAAGAGGAAGGAGGCATTTACCATTAGATTTGAGTTAGTTCTAATTATCTAAGCCACATATTCAAGAAAGGGTATACCCTTTTTTGTTTTAAGTCACTCGTTAAAACAGCTTCATTAGTGAAAAACGTAGTTTTAGATCTTTACAGTTGATTGCTCTCTTCCAATAGACTTGCTTCTTCCATCTATTTCAAATGAGACTAGAAACTTGACAACGGAGAGGTATATTCCTTCAATGTGTTAGTTATGCTTCATTACTTACTCCAGATTGAGGTGATACAGCTGTCTGTTGATCTGTAGTACCTTGTGCCACAGGACCATTTGTAAGACTATTCATATTTGCACTGGACACTTCAAATTTGACATCTTCTAGGCCAGGAATAGAGGACAACTGAATGTACAAAACATCATCAAATAAGCAATGAGCATATCGTAAGTCTACGTGTACAATAAAATCTGCAGTATGCTGCTTACCACATGTTCCCCAGGTAGGTTTCACATTAGTAAAATCGTAACTTTTTATCACTAGTTTTGGTATTTTGATTGGCAAAAAGAGAAGATTTTTCTATTCAGGTGGCTTCTACAACAAAAACCCCAAAACACTCCGTTGGAGCTTTCACTGTTAACACAGGGTTGCAGTGCAGGAAAGGCTTCAACACCTCCCCAGCATTTTGCTACTGCACTTATCAACCACACAAGAACCATGCCACCTTCCCTGCTACTTCGTCTACAGTGAAAGAAATCATGACAAGAACAGCTCTATTACTTAACAGATGGGTGACTGGTTACAGATTTTGCTATTTTCTACATCTTTCACTCTTTTTTAAGGAAATGCTGAGAGTGGATATTAAATATGCCGCCTATTTATTTGAAGGAAATTCTATTTAACATGATTATGAAGAATTCTGCAAAAATTATCAATACTGATCATTTCTAAATATTTTGAAATAAATAAAAGTTAGTAAGCAGTGTTTGTACTACTACTACAGTATTTTTTTCACAAAGATCTTAATGAACGGTTTCAAAATGTCCTACCCCTGCTCCCAGAAAAGCCAACCGAAATTGCTTCTATCATTATTGAAAGAAGGATTGGTTAAAACTTTACAGGGGGTGGTTTTTTGGTTTTGGGGTGTGTTTTTTTTTTTCTTTTAGCAAATTAAATGATAATACATGACTATAGACTATATCCTTTTGTCATTTTAGCTAAAGAAGATACACCAGACACATTTGTGTTAGCTTAGATCCAATTCAGGTCATATTTCAATATCAAAAGGTTTACAAGGCACCTATCTAGTTGCTTATACCAGTTGAAATCCTTACAGTCCGGTAACACTTACAAAGCTACTTTTGCTTTACAAAGGGGGCAAAAATTTCTTATTAGAGTTTGCATGGCAAATGCAATTTCGTATGCAACCCTGCAACACAAGTTGCATATTTTAATATCGGAAAACTTCTCTCCATTTTCTTAAAACCAAGCATTGCAATAAAATCAACACAAGTAAGCTGCCGTATAGTTCAGTTGCCCTTTCAAGATCCAAGTGCTCCTTTCCTGTTCAATACACTTAACAGAGACAAAACCAACATTTCCAATATGTGTTGTTGGTTCCTTTCTTCCACATCCACTACACGTTCAAATGTTACACAATGTAAGCGGCAAGGCATGCAAAGAGAGAATTTGCCGTGTGAGCATTTTGTATTAGCTCCTTCAAATCATTATGAAAACTTACTTGCTCAATTCAGACTATGAAAAGGAAGCTAGTTCATGTAATCTAGGAGGCTGTCACTGTTAGAAGACAAAGTCTGTACACATACAAACCTTTGCATCCAAAATATTGAGTGTTGTTTCAATTTGTTGGATACGGAGAGAGAGCGCTGACAATTTCTAGAATGGAAAACAGTTAGAACGTGAAAACACTCCCCTAGGCCACCTGTACATATAAAGCAGTTCACATCTAGCTAAACAAAATCACTTTCGTCTTCTACCTGCTGAAGGCAGAGTAGAGTGTAAATGAGATGATAACATTATGAAATAAATGAAGCAATGACATCCCTTTTTAGTACAGTGGCTACAGTGGTTCAAATTTTAAATAATTTTACTAGGCAGTTAGTTTTCCCAAATAATGACTGACAGAAATGAAGACAGACTAGGTACAAAAGAAAGCCAAAGTAAATAGGGTATTACTTTGAGCAACTGGAGAATAATTGTACTCTCGCAGTTACCAAAACATCTTTCTTCAAAGCTTTTTCCAAATGTGGAAGACGAAAAGACGTGATGTGTGTGTATGTAACTGAGCAAATACAAAGTAGAAAAATCTGATAAGGAATACAGCAGGTGATTGAAAAGTCCTGTAGAGTCAAAATGCACAGTGAACCAGAACTAACCAGAAGCTTTACATGCTCCAGGTGCACCTCCATCAAATTTTGGCGCTTTTTTTTTTTTTTTTTTTTAAAATACAACTTAAGCTTTTCTAAATTACCCTATAAGAACTGTCACTCTCTTAACTAATCACTACCATACTCCACCAGACCTGTCCAAGTAAAGTTGGCTAGCACGCTGGCTGGCAGATATGTACCACTCTGACAGCTTTCTGGCACGTTGGCAAGATTCTGCCTGGCTCTGAAGCAGAACTTTAACACCCTAAGAAAATGGCAGTTCTGCCAATATGCTAGGAAAAGTAAAAAGAGACTGACAGGAGTTAGTCTTTTTGGATAGTGCACTGACTTGTTTACAGATGGTTCTTTGTTCATGAAGAAGAGTTAGTTCCTATTGAAAGGAACTATGTGCCCTACATGTAGCTGGGGAAAGGTGATGAAAGATGTACAAAAGACAGTTATATAACTTTACGGGTCAGTTTGACTAGACAAGAGCCAAGAAATTTAGAGTTAAGGATGGTGTCAGCCCTAATTTTGAATTTCTTGGCTTCTGTTGATTTAGACTGGGACCTTTCACATTAAAAACACTTCTGTACTTCATAAAGACAAAAAACTTTTCAAGGAGTTTATAAAGCAACTATTTAGTCTCTTGGGTAACAACGCGTTTAGATTAATAACTGTTTTATTAACTAGACTTCACAGCATTGCTGCGTGCTCAAGATGGCTTTAAATATATGTGTTCTGATTTCCACAGTGCCTATGTAAGAGGTAGTATTGAGATCATGTGAAAACTGAGTTTTGGACAACTGACAACAGCATCACCAGGCAGTTACACTGTTCCACGTATCAAGTTACAATAAGTTTAAAAATCTAGAAAAAAATTACTTTTTTCTCCTCTGAAGCTCCATACGTTGATGTGGTAGCCAAATTTTATACTTGTCATGGGTCTGGCTCTAAACTTCACTAAAAAATAACAGAATTTCTCAGATTACATGGCTTAGTCTAATTGGATTTGACTGCTGCCCTAGCCCTGCTGGCTAGGGCCATGTAGTAGTCTTTGGTGAATAAACTAGTGAACAGTTAAAAAAAAACCCCGCTAATAACAAAAAGGTTAAGGTCAAAGCCACATTAGAAAACACCCTTTCTACAAGGGAGGAAGCACTCTTGCCCTGTTCAGTGGGAAATTCTAGTCCTGTCAGTCTGGTATATTTCCACTGACACTAAAGTTACCATAAAAACTTGTTAACGCTAAATATTTTTATTTTTCTCTTTTTTACAAGACCGCTTGTAAATTAACTGCTTCACATTCCATACTAATCACTTGCCAAAAATGTCTTTTTTCCCATATCAAAATTATTTACATTCAGAGCTTAGTGTATCACCCTTTTAAATTAAAGGTGGTAAAATCTGAAAGCAAGTTTTGATGCAATATCCTACGACCCAGATGAGAAGGATACTGACTGTCAAAATGGATTCAGCACCATAGGAATACGGCATCCTTCTTTCCAAACAAGGCGATATCCACAGATGGAGCTGCTCAGAACAAATTCCATGTATCAAAAAGTTCAAAGACTATGCCAAACACAAAAGTTTCAGGAAACAGGATTAAGTGTGGTATAATCAGCAGTTCATGTGGATATCTTGCGGAAAAAAAAATCTGTCTTAAGCACTTACTCAAGAGAAACCTTGAACAGAAAGCAGACTAAATTTTTTGGTTTAAGCTACTGGTATTATTGCATCAAAAATATTGAAGTTTTTTCATTGTATAAATTGACAGCTAGGAAAATAATAAACATACCTCTTCACAAACAGTAGAAAAGCGGTTGAGAAACTGCACTGTGTGAACCACAAACTGGTTTAGAAATGCTACAGTTCTTTTCTGCTGAATAGCAGGAACCTGCATTAAATAATATAAGAAAATTAGATTATACATAGATGTCAATTCTCACATTTGGATTCAAAGACCTGTTAAAAATGCAAATGTCTTAGAAGAAATTAATTTAGAAATCTGCCTTCAGTGTGCTTGCTATGAATGCATATATATACAAAAAATTTTTTAATATATATGCACGTATACATGTATACAAATCCTTTTCCACTAAAAATCTACTAACGTGGCAGCTGCAAAGTTGCAGGATACACAGAAAAGGCAACAAGATCCACATAAATGGACTGTTATCTTATTTAAGAAAACACTTCTGGATGAAATTGTGAACATTCCTGAAAAACAGTGTTAAAATTTTTAAAAAACAGAGAGGAAATCAGAATCTTTCCTTCTGAAGCTTAAGAAGGAAAAGAAAACTCAGTCATCCATACAAATAGTTACAACCAACACCATAATCAAAAATAAAGAGTGGTGAAATTGCTGTCTCAGTTTTTAGTGGCTACCTATACTTTTTCTTATTTGCAAGCCCAGATTATCCTAAAATTACACTTTAGTGTCACTCCTCCAAGTCAGATCCGATGCACACATACTTTTCAGACTAAAAGGTAGAACGTTCTATTTGGTAAAAAATAGCCTGGTGCTCAATATGTAACAGACAGTTTGGCATTTTTATTTAAACCGTTATACAAGACTGGGATCAGGAACGTTCACGGAAATGTTTATGTGTAAAATTATAGTGCCTCAGGGTTAATTACCTTGGACAGTTTTTAAGCCTTAAACTTCACACAGGAAATTACTCTATGGAATCGTAATTGGTTAAAGCGAAGGATTTACAAGGAAAAATATTTGCAGCCAGGATTCAGCTGCACTGAACAACAGTTTGTGAATATAGCGACTCTCTGGTCTTCACCTCTGCTTTGGTCTTCCATTTGTCAGCGTAGCCATTCACTACACTTTGCAATTCTTAAGACATCCTGATATTCTGCGAGATTGTTGTTGCTACTGTCTCAAGTTTTCAGTCCGTGCACCTGTATGGCAGGGTTTGCCGAAGGTCAATTCTGTAGTTCCAAAACTGTCAAACAGTGCTTACGACCTTATCAGAAATTTATGGGGTAGCACAAAGGACGGAAGGATCATTGGGGCACTCGGAACTCTCCTATCTTTATGCTCCGTATTTGAGAAACAAAGCTAGAAGTATGGTTTTGCATCATTAAAAGACATGAATAAGCAGCTGTGCACGGGATTTGCCTCACAGTTCTACGACTGAAGCGGCTTAGCCTTCAAACATAACGCTATCACAGAACTTGGAGCAAAACGCCTTCGGAAAACGCTAATACCGCGCTCCTGGAGACGCAGCTTGAGACAAGACGAACCGCCTCGTCCTCCCGCGACCCCGC